TAATTTTGTTGATGGTTAAGAACAGAACCGGTTTGTGTTTTTTTTCAAATTGAGTTAATTTTTTAAAAATTTATTGAATTTTAATCTGTATTCATTGAACAAGAAAAAGACTTCCAGATATCGTATTTTTTTTACTTATAGTCATTCAACATATCACTTTTGATAATAATAATAACATTCCACATATTTATCATGTTCTATCAGAAGATAAATATACGGTCTATTTGCTACATTAATCTTAGTCAAATTTATTTAAAAAGAGGTATTAATTCAATGGATGATTGAAGAACAATCTCCAATCGGTAAAATAATCGGTAAAGCAAAAAGATATTTTAGTATTTAATAAATAATTATCCATAATTAACTGTTATAATATATATGAAATTAAATCATATTGATAATGATACACAATCATGTCTTCTCAATTCTTACCATACATCCAATATACATAAATGTCAATTGATAATATATGTCGAAATGATTCTGATCGATATGAAATAACACTTATAAATGATGATGGGCAAGATGATCCAAAGAAATGATACTATTAAAATATTTGATAGACCAAGTAAATCAAGAGAACTTAATTGTAAATTATTGGATATCGGTCAAATGATAGTGAGTCACTATTAATCGGTTATTATATTGAAAAATATAAATTCATGGTGCTAACTATCGTTTTCGTGTTTGTGTAGAAAATAAATATTGGTGATCAGAACCATGTGAAACTGTTGAAACAATACTTATTCAGAGTCCATCGGTGGTTAAAGACAATTGAAAAGGTAACTTTTGCATCTGGAAAACGTTCAAAAGATTTTTTCGCAATATGTGTGACATGTACCATCCATAAAAAAAGTCATTTTTATCTGCAAAATCAGTCAAAGTATTTCTGAAAAAAATGCTTGCATGTTTCTCAGATGCAAAAGTTGTCTTTTTAAGCGTTTTCACTTACTTTTTATGATACAAGTATCTGGTTTTGGTATTTTCTGAGTGGACATGAAAACACTCAAACAACAACTACAATTGGGGCGTTTAAAAATGTTTTGAAAAATTCTTGTCTGCTTGGCAAATTTTCTTAAACATCAGAGAATAATGTTCAAGAAAATCAAAACTCAATTTAATAAGTAAAACCTTCTTACGGAACATGCATTTTGAAATGAAATTCACCTTTTAAACTTTGATCTATATATATACAAAATGACTTAATGTTATCTAGTCTTGAAAACTTCCGATGTCTTATATTTAGACAATGCAAAACAACAACATGTCACATGCAATGGGCATAATTAACAGATTATTTTATTGAATGTCGTTTGCAAAAAGGTTCATATTGGTTAAAAGTAACAAAACAAATCATTTCATCAAATACAAATTAAATTAAAGCTGAAACACTTATTGAAGGAAATGAATATGAATTTCGAATAATTGCCTATAATGAAGTTGTTCAATCAGAACCAAAAACTTCATCAAAAATTATTGTTACCAAAAATCTATTTCGAATGTCATAGGATTTTTCAAAAAAATAACTCGGGTACACCTATTCATTTAACTATAAATGTGATTGATAATGAATCGATTGAGTTAAATTAGCAACCACCAATAACAAGTTATGCAAATGAACGACGAACTGCTTGAAAGTATAAATTGCATGTAAGTTAAAAAAACTTTTTTTTCCTTTTATCTTACCTTTGTTTGTTTTTCGTGTTCTTATAAGGCTTCAACTGAACCAATTGAACACAAAGTAATAAAGATACATTTATTAAATATAGGACATAAATATAAATGTCATATTTGAGTTCAAAATTTGACTGACCTTGGTGAGCTATCGAATTCTACTAAAGAAACTAAAATACGAAAATCATTTATTCGTGAAAAATCAAGATTTATTCAAGAACTTGAACTTATGGCAATCACTAATATACAGTAGAGTGCAAAAAAAATTGCCGTTTAGTGTATTGACTTTCTTTAAAACTGTTTCGTACGTTCTTCGAGCGATTTTTCTCGAGTTATGTGCAAGTATTAGGTACTGCCTTGGTGCATTCAATGAGACGGCAATTGCTCGAAAACTGTTATGCATTTGCCCAAAAATGACTTATCATTCAAGCATTACGTGCATCTGATCTGACCAATAAATCATATTACATAATTGAAGTAATGATTATCGAGAAGAAGTTTGAAACTACTGTATAACGATGATCCTTATTCACATTAGTTATGATAAAATTTTCAAGATTGAGGAGCGTAACACTGTGTTATAATAAGGCTAACAATAGGATCGACCAGCCTTAAATAGGTAAAATTATCGTTTGGCTACTTAATAGCACAAGTCTGAATCTAGTTAAATTATTCTTCCAGACCATTCAATCAATTGATATGAATGAAAAACTTTAAGATATTGATGAATCAAAAAGATTCTGGCCCGACAACTGGATTAAAACTGATGCGTAACTTGTAATTTTTTTTATTCTTTCCAAGAACGTAAGATTATTATCTTCTTTAAACTCATAGAGAATTCGAAAGTTTTAATGATTAATATATTTGTATAGTACAGTATCTGGGTAGTACAACAACATTGATAAATCATAATATCTGATACTTCTCTGAGAAGAACTTTGAAAAGTCTATCGGCAATTATTTTTGCACTCTACTGTATGACCTGTTATATTAACTACTCGTATTAAACATGATCCCACATCTGAGTTTAAATAGTAAGTATAGTAAAATATAATAGTCATTTTTGAATAATTATAAAATCTTTGGTTAAAAAATGATCATTCAATTGTACAATATAATCATATACAATTAGATTACCAATCAATATTGCTATTCATTACGTTTTATATATTTCTTGTGAAGTCGCTGTATACTTGTTTATTATATTTGAAAAATCATTCTTTAATGATGTGTTCTTTATTCATTTTATTGTTTAGTTAATTGCTGTCAACGTGTTCGTTTTGATACAGTATTCCCTAATTGTCATGATTGTTTTCAACCACGAATATCAACTAAAACAACTACACAAACTGTAATGCCTCTTTCAACAATAAATAATGAAACTGCCGCAATTGCCGATGGAGATACTAATCTTTCACGTATTTGTTTTAAAGAAAAGGAAGAATGTAGACCATCTGATTCACAATTAAATACAAGCGAGTGACCTATGATTGAAATTACAAAACAAAAGACTTCAGAATAGAATTACTCTTTTTTTTTCTCTATTGTTGTATATTCAATATGAAAATAAAACATGTTCAACACGATGTTTGATTATTTTTAATGGGCAAAATGTTCATAAATACGATTGAAGATTAACAAAAGGATAAAATTCAAATGTTTAAACTTTTTTCATTTCATACAAATTCTTCTAAAGAGTTAAACGCATAATTTTAAGTTCTACTTATAACTAATTTTGTAAGTTAGAAAAATGTGTTTTGTAGAACAAATAAAAACAATTGTTCTTAAAACCTTGATTGTTTCTAG